AAAGAAATGTTTAATAAAGTAAACAAATAAATATTAAGCTTTTTTCTTTTTTGTAAATTTTTGATACCCTTTAGATCATAATTGTTCTTTATTTCATAAATTACGGTTTCATATTTTTAATTTTAGAATTTCTGCATGCCATCTTACGAGATTTAAACTGATGATCTATAATCTGGAAAAATCGATAATCCGGAATCGCCGAAGTCCCGACGAGTCCGGATTAACGACTTTTGACTGTATAAGCATTGTAGACATGGCTGGAAAAACTGTGGCTATTTTATGGAGCTATTTTGCCCTGGGCTAAGCAATTCCTTTTTATCTTAGAGCAATCCTGAGTAATTCTTCCTCATGAGCCTCACACATTACGTCTATTATTCGGAAGTTTCGAAGGCGCAAAGCTAAACTTAACCTCTTAATTGTTCGAAACAGCAGTCTATCATAATCAGGACACTCATTAATAAATCCATTCTACGCCCCACACTTTGCTGTGCCTGCCCAGTCTGGACTTATTCCTGTTAAACAAATCGTTAACAGCTCCACACTGTCCAGAAGTATTTTTCGGGAAATTACAGACGACTCCCCCCCCCCTGCAGGGTCATTCCTAGGCCATTAGCTGCCCATGTACTTTCTTAAGATTGCTGCTCCCAAATTAAAAAAAAAATGTTCAATGATTAATAAAATTTTTATTTCATACTCACTAGGTACTTACATAAAAAACTGTATAAAAAGTACTTATATGTATATGACAAGTACTTACAATGAATTAAAAATATTTAGGCGTGGTATTGCGAGAGTCCGCTACTGCTGATTTTGGCTACCCACGTACTCACTGCACCGCTAGGAATGGCCCTGTTCCCCTGGTATGTTTGCAAAAACAGAATGCATAAAGAGCTGAAAATTGGACATAATATTATAAAGAACATAGTAATTGGACATAATATTATAAAGGACTGTCAAAGATTTTCATAAACGCCAAGAGGAGATAAGTAAACTTGCAATTAGAATCTGTAACTACAACTTCAGCAACCCAAAATAACATCAAAAGACCTATGGACATACTAAATGGTCAATTGCTTGTATAAAATGCATATTTTTTGTTTTGTAAGTTCGGTTCCTGATTTTTAAATATAATTAATACATATATTGATATAATTTATGACACCATCTGATTAGCACTTATATTGAAATTTATTTTCCTATTCTGCTCATGTGAATTATGTACGTGGCGTGGTCTTGACCACTTATTTCATCACAAACAACTTAATAACTAACTAAATTATAGTGCACTAATCTGTAAATATAAAATGTTAGGGCCTAGTAGCCAAGACACCCTGATGTCTAACACTCTTATACAGTCAAGCAACTTTGTCATAAAATGAGGGAAGAGATCATTATCGTAACCCAGTCATTCTATATCATGAGTTCTCAAACGGGGGGTGGGGATTCTTAGCCTCAGCTTTTATTTAACTGTTAAGTATTTAGTTTTGATTTGTGAATATAAAAACTACTTTTCTTTAAGTTTTGTTATTTACCTACATATTCTATACTTTTTGTTGCTTAATTTATAAAAGAAGTTAAGACATTAAAAGTAATCTAACTAAATGTATATATGCATTTTTTTAGTTTTGGGAAGAAAGGGGAAATAATCTAGAAATGGTGAAAAGGATGCAGTAAGAAAGCCATAGCAAGAAAGTGAAACTATTAACGTCTCTTCGTAATTTCTTTAAAAACAACAGTGTAAAAACAATTATCTCTTCAATTTAGTTTCATATCTTAATTTGTCATTTTCATTTCAACAATGATTGAGGGGATAAGAAAGCTGAATATTAGTAATTAGCTTTAGGGTAAAATCCCAACGGGTTGGCTGTCTTATGTGGTTTACTTTAGGTGTAACACAAACAGATGTTGCACTGTATTCATGTATGCATGATGTGAAGCCAGCCAGTGTCCATTACATTGCCATGTGTCCAACTGTGGAGTGTAATTAGTCCAACTAGCAAGAGCAATGAATGAATGCAGTTAGACCGTATTTTTCAAGCTCTATTAAGAAACACAATATGGAATTCAATTGTTTATAACTGAATAATAATGATATATTTTTCAGTTATCAAGGTAGTAGTATATAATAGTCAGCAATTGTTAGCTTTTACAAATAATGACAGAAATCTGAGTACATGTCTTCTAATTATTCAACAATCCACACCTAAGATTTTCAAGTTTTAAATTTCGGCTTCTGATTACAGTCCTTATTTATATATTGTTGCATTCACACAGAAAGATTACAGAAGGATGAAAAGCTAGGAATTCACAACTTTGTGGGTGACAATAATTTATTATTTGAAGAAATTCACTATTTCAAACATATTTTCTTTAATATTCTACAATTCTTTTTTTTTTCTCACAAAATGCATGATTTTAATCAATGCATATTCATTACATTTTAGAAAATATATATATATTTTTAAGAGCTTCATAAAAAAGTAAATTTGGCTTAATATGTTAATATGCTTTTAAATTTAAAGAACTTCCCTTTTCTAAATTATTACACTTAATTAAATTATGGATCTCATGTTTCTAAAAAACCTAAGCCTTAATTTATTTATGGCATATTTCTCAAACATGAAGTTAAGAAACTCATGCTGTGACTGAACTACATAACACTGAAAGCACTTCATGTATAAGTTCTGGCCCACCAGCGGCCGAGCAGTGAAGTCGCTGAACACTGGTAGTTCGAATCCCGCATGAGCGTTTTCGTGGTTTTCCCCATGTGTAACGTGTATACGAGCCAGTTTCCCTTAGAAAGTCCTCCACGAAGGCATCCCTCCTCTTAGGCAGATAGCCCTCGAGGCGTTGCCGTAAACACACACACACATGTATAAGTTCTGTTCCAGCAATTTTGAGAAACATTTATCACATCACAAATCTTTAGGATATGTTTATGTGTTATCTTGATTTCAAGTACTTATTAAATTGCATATTTTTGTCTATTTAGAGGTAATTAAACAGAGTTTTATGTTAAAAAATTTAAAGTTATTAATACAATATTTGACCAGTTTCACATTTCATTTTAAAAATTACAGCATTTTTATAGAAACTCATTAATTCAGGAATATAAAATTTCATTTCTAACAATGACCTTCTGGAAAAATTTCTGTCTACAGAAAATTCTTGAAGAAATCATTAATTAAGCACGAACTAATTTAGAAACAGTCAGTCAATCATAGTCTAGTCATTTTCTATAGTAAGTCATCAGTTCCGTTGTTGTGAAATATATTGTGCATGTTATAAAACATTATTGTTGTTCTAGTGAACTGTGCTTGTGTAGCCACAAGCAGTGGTGTAACTGAATTCCTCCCAAAATATAAAATAAAAAATATTAATTTTCAGTCTATTTTTTAATTTTTGTTACATTTAATTTATAGTTTTCTCTTCAATAATTCAACCTTTGATGCTTAAAGTTAAAGATAATTGCACAGATAATAAATATTAAGATTACATGTGAATTTTTAGACAAGCACCCCCTGAACTATACAGTAAGTTAAAGAAATGTAAGTTGCAATCATCATGCAATCTGTGCCAGGGGATGCACTGCTCCTAGTAAGAGATAACATTCCGTCACTGCCTATAAGCATTTCCGACATTAAATGGCTCTTCAATGGCTTGTGCTACTGATGGCCTCCCATGGCCAATAGGGTAGTAGTAGTAGTAGTAGTAGTAGTAACGGAGGACGTGGGCACCATCCCTCTACCATTACGGTTAATCGGTTCTGCCCACGTCCACCCTTATCTAGTATTTATTAATAAATCAAAAGTTTTTACATTGCCATATAGTGCCATATTAAAAAGATAAATAAAAATAAAAATAGGGCCAATAGGGTACAAAGGGTCCAACACACATTTACAAAATGCATTGTCAATAGCATTGTGTAAATCAAAACAACAGCCACAAGGATCTCATTGGTAGGCCCTATCTATTTAGTAGCTTTAAAAATAAATTTTGTATATGTTGTTTGACATAGTACATTAAATTTTTTTTCTATTTTTGAAGTGAAAACGTGTTACAGTTTTACCAACTAAAACTTCCAAAATTGTAATTTATATTTTTTACATTATACTGGAACTGTTTAGTTACCTGTTAATAATCTATCAATATTATTTCACTCAGGAATGGTTTAATAGTTTAATTATTAGTTTTAGTACCTTATAAATAAATATTTAATTTAGGAATATTGCATACACATTTTGGAAGGATCCACAAGCCAAAAAAGTTTGGGAACCCTTGCTTCAGAAGATGAAAATATTTTGCAGCAAAGAAAATGCTCTTATTCATCTGTGCACAGCAGTGAAAAAGGGCAAAAGTGCATTATTTAATGTGCAGTGAGAGTTTGATCAATAATCTATATCTTTCATAAATATATTTCTGACATTGGCTACAGCAATATTGTTTTTTCTTGTAACAAAATGAATACACATAAGAACTAAATGCCAAAGCAACAAAAATCAACATAATGTGAGTAAATTTAATTTGGAAATTGGACTATAATTTGGAAAACCTTTGAAATTATAATCCTGCAAATTTATTCATGTTATGCTAATTCTTATTGCTTATTATTTAATTTTATTATAGAATGGCCTCTGAGGCATGATTTGAAAAAAGAGTCTTGTGATTGAATTATGTAACATAAATAGTACACCCTTGATAATTTTTGAAATCTAACCCCCTTTTTCCTACTACTATATATTGTATTCACATAACAGATTTCTGCCAACCTAATAATGAACTTTACAAGGGTTATCTGGGTATTATTGAAGTACACTGTGCAGTTGAAATTATATTTATATTGTGCTATTTCACACAGAGGACAATGTATATGAAAACATTAGATTTTATTCTTAAGCTTTAGTTCATCAATAAAAACATCAATAACAGACAGCTCTTCTACACTGTCACTTTTCTCTTTTTCATTTTGTTCAATTTTGAAGCGATTAAAAAGAATCACTCTTATTTGAAACATAATTTATAGCATATAATTTTAGAAACAAAATACAGGTATAAACACCCAAAAAAGTATTAGGACTTTTTTTTTCAGGTGGTGTTTTTATACTTACATCAGAAATCACATTCCATCAGTTTTAGAGTGCATAGTCAGAGCATCCCTAGGACACCATATTTATACATCAAACATGAGAATAAATTATTTGGTGGTAATTATTTAATAAACTCTGAAATATTATTATGAGTACTTACAAATAAGTATAATTTACTGCTCTTTTGATACTAATTGTATCACAATACACTATATTTTTCAGTTACATAACAACCTAAATTAATCATTGCATATTTTTTTTTTTATTATTCTCAAAACTAATAAGCTCGGGTTAGCAAAATAGTTTAGAGAAAACAACCTTGATGGAAACTGCACTAAGTATCAATCTTAGATTTTTCAAGCACCTCATGAATCTTTAATTTCATGATTATGAAAGAATTCAAATTGCAAAAGAAAATTGAGGAGGTGCATAAAATTGGTGCATTTTCAAACAAAAAGATAAAATTAAATATATATGTGTGTTAATGGTATAACAAGTGCATAATGAAGGTTAATTTCAGGTAAATGAATTTCTGATTTTCCAAGTCTCGACTCAATTTTGAATCAGACTAGAAAATATGAAAGACGACAAGTTTACTGAAACATCTGTTTTAACACATAGTTTAAACAGTGTCACGTTTTTTCCTATTTAGAGAAACATATTTTGTCAACATTAAGTGCATGATATCTTTACCATAGCACAGGAAACTTCATTCCATATACAGTCAAAACTAATGTTGCAGTATTTAAAAACATCTGAAAAATGTACACAACAAATTATGTTATTTTTCCCTTAACATGTTGACAGAGGGGGCTATATTTCGTCTAAAACGAATACTTCTCTTGACTGCCCAAATGTTCTTGGGCTCAAGGGGAAAGACAAGCTCCCTTCTAGCACATTGGTTCAAGTTCACAAGTCAGAGTTGATACCACTTTTTGTCTCTGTATCTGAGCAACAATTGATGTGATTTATCTGCTAACATTTCAGCTTCGGTCATCATGTGAACTGTTGTATCTTCAAGTCTACTCAGGTTCTCTCCTCGTTCGTTTAATGCCTAAACAAACAAAAGTTAATTTTAAGCAAATTATGCAAAATCTTACAATAATAACAACAGACATTTTGTAAATTACAATATTCAACATAATCTGATTCTACAACTAAAATCAAGATATACATGACACATATTTATATAGAAGAAATGAATATTTTATAGAAGTAGGGTGGGTCTAACAGCATCTTGATCACTCTGAGCTTATTCAATAACACTGGCACTTTAGTCACAGGAAACAAAATCACAAACTTTCTGAGCAAATGAAATTCCCTCATACAAGTTGCTATACAGCACAAGGCACCACCCAGCCAGTATGAGTATGTTTAATGATGTTGACCAATGGGGCCTGGTTCACATCCAGGAGATGGCATGGATATTCCTAAGAATATAGTGTCTGTGTGGCAAGACAGCCTCAAAATATATGGTGAGCTGAAACAAAATACATGGTGAAAGTCCTCTCGAAAAGTTGGATGACATGGGAAGACTGGTGGAAAGCTCCCAAACTGCTCCCTGGGAGGAGCAGGGTTCGTACACATTTCCTTACATGAAAATTAAGGACTTTTAAGGACCATCAAAGAAAAAATTAAGGACCTATCAGCAAACAAAAAAATGAATAGAATAAAGCAATTTCCATACAAACCGACTTCATGCTTGTAATTTCACTTTAAAAACTAACAGATGTGTGTATTATGCACTATTATTAAATTCAATTTAATACTTATGCCATAAAACAATTTTGAAAATTAAACTAACTCCCTACAAGTTATGAAGTAGATAACATTAAATTAGGAACATAATTTCTTGAAAAACATGTATAAGTGTATTTTTACACCTAATAACAGTCACTATTTAGAGATTTACATGATTATTAATTTAACTTATTTGATATTTATTTAAACACAGTCAACTACTATTATAATCACAATGTAAGAATATTTTGCAGATTAAAATAACTGATTTGTAAACATACAATTTATTTCCTTGGTTTTTTGAAAGATACTAGAATAATAACTGTACAATAAAATATACAAAAACATTTGTGCTTTTTTTTTAAATCTGAAATCTTTTCAGCTATTTTAACATCTAATTTATTTATGTCTATTTCCTTTTCTTTAACTATTCTTCTAAGTTCATTTGCTTTGATAAGCAAATCAATGTTCCTGCTGGTCTCAGCTTCATCTGCTAAAGCATCTACTTCTTCATTAATATCTTTAACGTCCCTTTGAAGAAATTTTTTCTTCTTCTTCATATAATCAATTTCTTCCTCAATAATATTTCTTTTCCTCTTTGAATTTTCAGATTTAGTTAAAGATTTTTGTTAAGCTGCTGCTGATCTCATTTCTTTATTAATTTCGATATTAAGAACACCCCCAGAAAATTTTATGTAATCAAATACTGTACGTTGAAAAATGTATGATGAGTCACTTAAATTTTCAATTTCAATTGCTTTATTTACAGAGAAGCCCCTTTCCACAGAGGCCTGTTCATGTGACAAGATAAGAATACTTGTCACAGTGAATACTTGAATAGTGAAAATATACATTTTTTACTATATATATATATATATATATATATAATTTATTTCCTAACAATATTGATTAATTGATTATATTATTATCTCCTAAGTTTAATTAAGGTAGAATTATTTTAAAAGAGTGAATCCATACTGGTAAGTTATATTTTGAAAGATATATATATATATATACAGTACAAAGTCCGAGATCCGGACATCCAATATCTGGAATGATCTAAAATCCGGACCTCAAAGCACCACCAACCAATTTTTTAGGGCTTTTTTGAAGGGAAAGGGTATGCTTTACGCACGCGCATTATATTTTTTCCCTCATCATAAAAAAACATGTCGGAAATCCCGATTCTTAATCTCAGTTTGGTGCTAAATAAAATATCTCATTATTGAAGAAATAATTATTTTAGCATAAATTTGTGTGATTAGTAACTTGACTCCATAGCTGCGTATCTGCTTAGCATAATCTCAAACCGAAACATTTGTTAATTTTACACCAACTAATATTTTATATCCTTGATGCCGAAATCGTGAATCATTATTTATTGTATTTTGCTTTCATCACCCCATGTTTATCAACGGATGACAACTTGAGTTATGAATCATGCAGCGACGCCAAATAACAGAGTATTATCCGATTACAGATTTAAGTTTATTGCACTAAAATGTTGACAAGGGAAGATTTAGCAGAAATTTCTTCCTTATGCTAAAAATATATTTTGTTAATGATACTCATAGGACAAACGATTATATTTAGTGCTATTTGAATTAAGAACCACTGATTTGTTATTCACATAAAGCTAGAACCAGCGCCAGAGCTCGCATGGCCGCACCAGGTGGCAGAATTTAGCGAAGTTAAACAGAAGTTTTTCATTGTGATGACAATGCCCAATCATCAATCAATTAACGGAGGGCGAAATCTGTAGTATGGTTCTAAATCCAGAAAATACAGCTACCGATAGGGAAGAAAGTAACAGAGAGGTTACTGAACGAGAAAAAAATTTTGATTGACAAGTTATTCGGAATTCTCGACACAGCAATTACAGGACTTGAACAATGGAACTTAATAACTGAACAAGAAATTATATGTCTATAGTATTAGTCTAAAGTATTAGCAGAGAAAACAAATCAAACAACTCACATTGAAAGAAATGTTTAATAAAGTAAACATATAAATATTAAGCTCTTTTCTTTTGTAAATTTTGATACCCTTTAAATCATAAATGCTTCATCATTTCATAAATCACGATTTCATATTTTCAATTTTATAATTTCTATGTGCCATCTTAGTAGATTTAAAATGATCTAATATCCGGAAAAATCTCAAATCTGGGATCGCTGAAGTCCCGACGAGTCCAGACATCGGACTTTGTACTGTATAAATATATATATAATACGGAATGTATATTTTCAGTTAAACGTCTACCCAATAACTTTAGTAATTCATGAAAGTTACTTTTGCATCTAGTTAATTCAGGAAAATTAGTTTCAATTAGTTGTTTTCAGCTTTAAAAATATTAAAAAAATATGAATTAGTTAGTTATTTTTAACTAATAATTGTATCGCCATTAGTAAAAATTATGCATTTCTATCAACAACATAGGTTTAAACCAAATACTTAATTGTCTATTGAAGCTTCAAAACGTATTTCCGAACTTCACTTTTTCTCGGCTAGCATTACCGAATTTGTCCTTGGCGACCTAAAATCGTAATGGAGCCAACAGATTTCCCGCGAAATCGATAAAAGACCCTCTGCAGAAATAAACTCATAATCCCGATATCCCATACATATTACTATATGTGCAAAAGGAAAATAAACTCCGTAGAAGGTGATAAAAAATTAATTTATGGCTTGATTGAAATAAACGCAGAAATTAAGCTAAGCAAAACCGTGTAAAAACAAATTGAAATGATAAAACGAAACTTAATTTTCATGTGAATTTTCAGCGCTGACTCTCCCATTCCAGAAATTTCAATTTGTTTCAGACAAACACCACATTTAAGGATTGCCATCCATTAATATCCAGTCTTCGTAGTCAGCTTGATGAAGCCACAGTTTATTGAAAATGCACTTTCCAGGCATCTTGTTCCTAGTGGCGTCGGAAGGGTTGTGGGCTTCCAGGTTGGGATTGCTCTAATTTTAGCAAATATTTTCAGAATCGCCCCCTTTTTTTTCCTCGAGCACCTTCATCATCACTTTCGCCTCTTAAAGAACTTACGGCTTCACGCTTTCATCACAATCTGCCTAAATTTATGGATAACACCTGTTTCGAAAACATTGGGTGAATAGCCAATCAGACACCCGATACTTTCGTTCGAGTAGCTAATTGTTTTTTTTTTTATCGTTTGCAACACAAATCCGCCAACAGATTGGTTAAGAGCCATGTAATTTTAATTCCATATTCATGAGAAATCGTAATTCACACTTAGAATGGCAATCATTAGAAATGATAAGAAATGTCAAATGAGCAAAATTAAGGACCGTTTATTCATTTTGGCCAAAATTAAGGACTTTTAGGGACCAAAAATCATTTTTGAAAAAATTAAGGACTTTTAAGGACTGTACGAACCCTGGAGGAGGCTTTTCTCAAAATCGGAATGTAACTGCACAGTTAGTGCAGCAGGACTATACCTGTACAACCAATGATGAAATTCTCATGTCTTATCTACTTCTACCTTCAGCTGAGTACCACAAGGTAATTGTCCAGAATATTGTCATAAGAGCATAAAACTGCATCTGCATTTACATTTTTATAATATTATGAAGGTGATCAGCTCTTGGATCCTATTATCACTGAAGAAATGATGATATGATTTCAAATCAGACAGATAAACAGCATAATCTTTTGACTAATACACTTACAGAATGGGTGCAAAAATGTGATGGTTTTCAAACAATAGTACAAGCGAATAAGGCAGACATATATCCCAGCAATGCTTAGAAAAAGGGATATAGTGCAATTTACTCAAGACACTTTCTTGTTTTAAAGATTATATAAAAAAGCTATTATGTAAGGTTGCAATTAATGCAACCTTACTGTTGTACATGAAAATTTTTCACTTTTTATCCTTATTATCTATTATATATCTATTATTATTATATATCTATTAGTATTGTAGCATGAGGATGAGTAGAAATCCAGTGGCTATAACAATGTGTGACAGCTGCTTTAAGTGGCTTATTGATGCAAATTTCGAGAAATTAAACCAACATTGTCAGGCCATCAGGAATCATCTTAAGTTCAGTTCGAGAAACATTGAGATGTTGCTTCATTTTTTCCATCTAGTGTCCCCTGAATGTATTTAATACCAGTAATGAGTGATGAAGCAATAAGTTTCAAGGGTGCTTGTATCGCACATTTTTTTTAACCAGTCCATAACTAATATGTGGATACACTGTATTTAAGGATGCACTAAATACAACTTTAGCAATGATTAGCTTGACCCCATATGGCACAATTGAGTGTAGACATTATATTCACAATTTTTCTCTCTGTTTTTTCATTAAAAAAAGTGGGCATGGACATTACATGAGTGTAAATATAATGCAGAGGTATACAGTATATATTTTAAATAAATGAACATAGAAAAAAAAATCATTGCTAGAAAGCATGTAAATGATTTTCTAGATACAAGGCATATCCAGAAAAATCAGTACAAAGTCCGAAATGACTTTGTACTTGCATTAATCAGTACATGGTTGCTCAGTTACATGGTTGAAGTCCTGTAATTGCTGTGTCAAAAATTCAGACTAACAAACGAAATTTTTTTGTTTTCAGTAACTCTTCTGTCACTTTCTTCACTATCGGTAGTGGTATTTTCTGCATCTAGAACCATACTACAGATTTCACGATTTATTGATGATTGAGAATCATTGCCATTACAATGAAAAACTTCTTTTATACCATCTTCATTTATTACGTTTTCTCCCCATTTCTTTACAAAATCCACTAAATGGAAAATTTCACCTTTGTTTTGTGATATTAAAAAAACTTTAAAATTAGCGGCTATCATCATCAAATTTAGCTATCATTTACTATACATACTTGGCTATGCATAATGAGCTTGGCGACTAGTGACAAGTTGTTCCATTAAATTTTATCTTGCTTCTATCGCGCACTGAGACAATTAAGCCTGAATTGTATTAGTTTAGTTTTTTTTATTATACTTATGTTTATTTCTTGCACATGCTTAAGACTTATCAGAGTTCTGAATAAATAAATTCCCACATATACTTAAGTAAGTAAGCTAACTACTTAAGTAATTTCAATAATCCTAGGAGGATGAAGCCAGGGGTCTCCTACCTCTCTCCCCCTATCACCAAACCACTCCAGAGAATTTTGGCTGTGGATTTTGATTGCCCTTTTGCTGCCACAGTCAGCATGCTTTTACAAACATCCATGCCTTTTCCAGGTTTTGAACCAAGGCCCATTGGTATTGTAGTCAATGTCACAAACCACTATACTGTCTGGGTGGCAAAAACTTATGTAACAAATTGATAAATGTCTACTGAATATTCTTGCAGCCACAGTATCATTACTTTGCATTATTGTAATAAAAATGCTTTTGAATTTTTTTAGTTATTCTCCCATTTTATTGCCAAAGGTTTTAATATAAAAAATACGTATATAAAAAAGCATGTAATATTACAGTTAATGTCTAAGCATACTGTATTTCTGAACTCTGACATAAATAGTTTTTAAAAAGAAAAAGACTTATTCTAAGCGTAGCACTAGCCCAAATCAGCACATACATTACACAAACGCTTTTTTTTTTAATGCAACTAAAAACTTAAATACCTGTCTCGTTCTTAACAAATCACCCGCTAAAGAACTGCTTTGAGCTTTAACCTGGTCCACGGTACCTCCAGGATAATGACGAGCAACAGATTTTGAACTTTTACCACTAGCTTCTCCAACTAAAAATGAAATAAAAAATGCTACTCAAGAACATATTTTTTATTAGTAGAAGATAGAAAATGAAACATTAAGGAGACACTTTTACTGTCTTATTAATTTTTAGAAACAACATTTTAAAATATGAATAAATTTACTATGATGTTTATTTATCCCATTAATATAACCCATGCAGTACTATGAACTAACACATATGAAATAGTTCACTAATACATTTGTATTTGCCATTAAAGGCAAAAAAAAAAAAAAAAAAAAAAAAAAAAAAGGGAAATATACAGACTATAAAAATAAACTTAAGATGAAATAAACAGGTAATGAAAAATAAATATTAATGGTTTTAACATTTCTAGATGGAGGAAAGAAACTGTCATTTACTAAAATAAAAACTCCAGAAAGAAAATGAACAGTGAGTTATTGAAAGGAAATATATTTTGTTTCCTTAAATTACAAATTCTTACATAGCTCTTCTTTATCCAAAATACTTGGTCCTCCTCCAAAAAGACCTTTGAAAAATCCTTGTTTTGGAGGTTCAGGCATTTCTTTCGTAAGAAACAAAGTACCCATCATATCTTGAAGTAAATTACTGCAAATGAGATACAGAATTTTATTTTTAGTTCTTAGAAAACCAAAAATATGTTACCATTAAAATACTGTTTCATGGGTGATTCATAATGTTCTACATAAATAAAAAATAAAAGTAAAGAACAGAATTCGATGAATATTTTAAAATCCAGAGAAAACACTTGCTATTATTATTATGGAACCCTTAAAATAGAGGGAAAATATAAGGATGACAATTACTTCAGGATGAATACAAATTATAAATTCAAAACAGTTTCGTTTTAGTTTGGTACTAAGCAAATAACATTTTTCCATTCTGAATTTTTCACATAATGTGGTTAACAAATAATCCGAAGAGAAAAGGAAAAGAAATATTGACATGCAATGAAACTTCAGGTTACGAATTTAAATAGGTCCTGGAGAGTGTTTATCAACCAAAAAAATTTTCTCATGGGGATTAAATTCATTCCTGAACCAGATGATGATTGCTTATTCAAACTTTACAACAATACTTTGTGCACAAGTTTATAATCCAAATCAATGAAAATTAGCAAATATATATATATATATATATATATAAAGATTTACACAATACTAAATAAATAAAACAGGTTAAAACTTAATGTAATTTTACTGTTACAAAAAAGAGAGGTTGACAGAAGTAGAAAATGATGAGGAAGATGTTATTGTTTGGATCTGAAATTCCTTTCCAAAGCATTACAGTCTTCAGGAGGCATTTGTCTTTCCTTCGTGTTTAAATGACACTCATCTTTGCTTAAGAGTAACTATTTTGTTTCACTCACAATTTATCAGTTGTAATTGTCACCTATGTTTTAAAATGTTTCTAAAGTGACACACGACACTGCCAGTGAAAATGCTTACACAACATGTTATAGCTGTTGACAGCTTTATCAAGATGATATTGTCACATAAAAACCTTGCATCTTATCCCATTTCAAGTCTCAGGGATCATAAAATTAGCATATTTTACTTCATTTCCCTTTTCTGAAGACATTTATTCTACAATTGCTTCTTCTTACTGTTTCTGAGATAACTGTACTTTTTTCTTGTTAAAATTATTTTTATTAGTAACTTCTCTACATCTTCACTGTTAACTTCATAGACCGAGATTCTGTTTAGAGACACAGTATTATAGATAACAACAACAACAAACACACACACGCAAAAGGAAGACTTATCGTAATTGCTAAAAATCTGCCTGCAACCAAATCTGGCCATATTTTTGTCCAGGCCGAATATGTGGTCCTGTAACACTTTGTCAGGCTTTGTTAAGCAATAGAAAATATTAAAATGAAATTCACACAAATTACTGAGTGTTAATTATGTGGCACAGTTTACCTCAAAGCAACTTTAAAAATCATCTCCTGCCAACTGAAGTGTACATTACTCAAAACCCTGTTCATCATCCAAGACATTTTTTTTGTTCAGATATTTGCTCCTGAACCAAACTACTTTATTATTTAATTATACTTTATACTTTATTATTTAAGGCATTAATGATGCAAGCTTCCATTCTACTTCAAAAATGTATTACATGTACTTCTAAAAGTTACTCAAGAGGAGCAATTCTCAACTGGTGGTACACAAAAGAAAAATAGGTGGTATGCAAAGAAACAAAGTATTTTTAATTATTTAGTTCAAAAATCTTGTGAAGAAAATAACAATTGATAGACATTTCCTGTGATCGAACTCGAACTGAAGATTTCAAATATAATGCACTTGTTAACTTTTGGCTGAACAAAAAAAAAAAAAAAAAAAAAAAAAAAAAAAAAAAATTAGCCATTTGAAATACAGCTATTAACCCTTTCAAGACGGGCGTCCCATACACGCATTCACTAAGAACGTCTCTTACAGCCGGGCGTCCCATCCACGCATCGCTAGAGATTGCATTCAGAGGACGGGTGATGCTTATGCGCATTTTAAGCTGGAACGTTTTTCTGAAGGCCAGTAGATGGCATCCTATGTCCATTACTTTTGAAATAAACACAGTTTTAAGTTCCTGACTTTGAGTTTGATATATTCTTCTTGATATATCAAACTCAAACGTTAGTCAGGTGGTACACATTAGTCAAAAGGTTGAGAATCACTACTCTTGAGCTTATGAAAGAATTTTGGTTTAGGAATTTAATAGATACTTCAAACATTTCGCATAATATTCATAAAAATACTAAATAAAGTAAGGAATTAAACACATTTCTTCAACTGTTACAATTGATGTACATTTAGATGTGAATAATGTGAGGTAGAACACAATTCCCTTCTTATATCCGGATGATTAAAGAACTGCAGTATTTTATCTGTAACCTACAAATGCAAAATTTAATATAAAAGGAAAAAGATGACAATCATTTAATAGTTCATCTGACATTTTAGGAAAACTGACTAGGAAACTTGGCCTTATGCTTTTTTTTTTAATAAACTTTCTTATATATATATTACTTTACTATTTCAATCACATCTATTAAAATTACCTGATTTAAAGCAGAAAAATTAAGATACCATCAGCAGTTATTCATCAAACCATATTTCATACCATCTAAACAGGAATATATTAAAGGAATCTAGGGCCAACCAGAGGGCGAGCGGTAAAGTCTTGTATGGTATTTTACTCATCAGCTCTTGCGAGGGTGGGGGGGGGGGAAGGAAAATGTAAACAGAGGTGAGCTCTTTAAATCACTGCATGTTAATGAAAACATTCACGTGTCTGCTTTATATCCAATTTTTTTTTAATTCTACTTTTTCCTTTACTATATACGGTCTTTTAGGGTTACTATGTGGAGTAGTGTTACGTTTTGCATTGTCCTTCAGGTATATTTCCGTTTCTGCTCTTTTTATTTCGGAAAGCCTCACCTCCAGTCTATTGTAGTGAAAAGGCGCTATTTATCAGAGAAAGAATACCCTCGTATGGTCAATGAACCATTTATTAACGCAGATGAGAGTGATGATTCATTTTCTAAACAGTTAGAAAGTGATGCTTTTTCTAAGAATTAGAAAGTGATACTTCTCAGTACTTCGAGATTTACCATAGTCTTTATTTTAAATTTTGTTATTTCTTACTGTAAATAGTCTTTATTGTGCTGTTTTATTAATTTAAAACTTTATTGATGGATTTTATCAATTAAAATTTTGGAATAATTTGAATAGCGCTTCCGAAAATTATTTTACAAGACAAGCAATTTTTTAAGTATATTTTCATGTAAAATAAAGAAAAAAAAACGTTATTAAGGTGCTAATTTTAACATATATAAGAGCTCAAGTAATAATCTAAAAGAATACAAAAAATTACGATGCTAGAAGCGAAACTTTTTTTTTTAATCTTTTTTTTTTATAAAATTAGGCTTAGCGATGCAAAACCTCTGTCCTGTATGGTGACTGCCTTCGATTCCCCTCCGTCCCGCACGAGCGTCTTAAACAAAAGTGCACCATCGCAAAAAGGTTAAATTTTTAGTACCATTTTGGAGAACCTATTTGTGTAAACAAGGATTTTATTACATGTTTTATTTGAAAAGTAAATACAGAAAAAAATTAAAAGTGGATCCTAATTTATGATTAAAGCTCTAAGTGAAATTAGGCCAGAAGAGAAGAAGAAATCAATCTTCCTTCAACAGACCCAAATTTTGCCTAAATTTTTGAATTTAAATATTATAACTTTGATAATTAAAATGGTAACCAATTTTTAGCCTAACATTTTTTTATATGTACATATTTAACACAAATAGCTAATAAGTTGTGCAAACGGCAAAATATTTTTTTTTATATTTCTATTGAGAATTTGAAAAATAATTATTGTAAAATGTAGTAGTGGTACTAAAGTTTTTCAATTTTTGTTTAGGTGGTACACGTTAGTCAAAAGGTTGAGAATCACTACTCTTGAGCTTATGAAAGAATTTTGGTTTAGGAATTTAATAGATACTTCAAACATTTCGCATAATATTCATAAAAATACTAAATAAAGTAAGGAATTAAACACATTTCTTCAACTGTTACAATTGATGTACATTTAGATGTGAATAATGTGAGGTAGAACACAATTCCCTTCTTATATCCGGATGATTAAAGAACTGCAGTATTTTATCTGTAACCTACAAATGCAAAATTTAATATAAAAGGAAAAAGATGACAATCATTTAATAGTTCATCTGACATTTTAGGAAAACTGACTAGGAAACTTGGCCTTATGCTTTTTTTTTTAATAAACTTTCTTATATATATATTACTTTACTATTTCAATCACATCTATTAAAATTACCTGATTTAAAGCAGAAAAATTAAGATACCATCAGCAGTTATTCATCAAACCATATTTCATACCATCTAAACAGGAATATATTAAAGGAATCTAGGGCCAACCAGAGGGCGAGCGGTAAAGTCGCTGAACACTGGTAGTTCGGTCCGAGGTTCGAATCCCGCGAACGGGCTGGCTGCATGGGTGTTTTCAAGGTTTTCCCCATGTGTAACGTGTATATGAGCCAGTTTCCCTTAGAAGGTTCTCCACGAAGGAATTCCTCCCCTTAAGCAGATAGCCCTCGAGGCTTTGGCATAATTAAATAACCTAACCTAACCTTAAAGGAATCTAAGACAGTTTTTCAGCACATGAATCAGATGATTAATTTTTTTGAATTTCCACACAGCAAAAAATTCAGATAATAAAAAAAACAATAAACTTAATTTTGTTTTACTTTAAAATTGCTAATTAAAGAATTTTTTGACCTTACATAGTTATGCTGTGCATTACATAATTTCATTTCCTTCAACTAACATAAGGGAAAACTTTAACTGAATAAATAAGACTTGTATTGCATTGATCATTTAGCAAATTACAGTGGAGCATTATTTATACATCCTTTACATTTATATGTCATTTGATTTTGGACCCGATTCAGTAGTATTTATTTTAATAGCAAAATATTTCTTTTGTACATCACACAACTTCGGTTATACACTGCTTCTGCTTGACTTACTGCCCTGGTTTTACATTTCAAAGTCTCATCATTCAAGTATTTTTCCCACAAATGGGGATAGGAGAAAGATTTGGTTTATTTAATTATGGCAAAGCACACGAGGGCTATCTGCCTAAAGGGAGGGATGCCTTCGTGGAGGACTTTCTAAGGGAAAATGGCTCGTATACACGTTACACATGGAGAAAACCACGAAAGCGCCCATGCAGCCAGCCCGTTCACGGGATTCGAACCTCGGACTGAACTACTACTGTTCAGCGACTTTACCGCTCGGCCGCTGGTGAGTCGATAAGAGAAAGGAGTCTGGTACAAAAGTTGAAAACCTGTTCATGAATAAAGGAGATACTTAGAAGGTAAAATAGATACAGTTTTTTTCTTCTGAACAGAATGCTGTTTTAAGTAAACCAGGTGGAGCAGAATAATGAAAGCAAAAGGCACTCTCATTAAAAGATAAAAATTCAAATCTTAAAAGAATTTGATGAGAATACTGGTTTGACAAAGTTGAGTATTCCTGTGACAACACTATGATGTTTATGCTAGAAAAAGTTGAAGAAAGAGCAGAAATTTGTGAACAGTCCACTTTAAAGAAATTATGCATTTAAGCTGGAGTTTCCAGAGATCAAAGCTCTTTTGCTAAACTTTTTCATTCAGTGTCATGCATCCAGGATTCTAGTGAATAATAAATACCATGTTAATTGAGAAGTCAAAAGAAATAGCACTTCAACTGGATGTGAAGGAAGCTTGCTTTTCAACTAGATGGTCACATAAATCAAACTGGGAATGGAATCTCTCATTATATAATACAATGTTATGAAGCTAAGCAAATTAAAGAATGTATTAGGATTTTACGGGGGCATTTCGAAAAGTAAAGATACAATGGCTCGCATTCCTTTAAAAAAAAAAAAAAAAAAAAAAAAAAAAAACATTTATTTAGAAAACGTCAGTTACATCTTATTGACTAGATTATTTATTATTTTTCGACTTAATCACCCCTGTTATCCAAACATTTGTTAACTCGGTGAACAAGCTTTTCTATCCCACAGTCATAGAAGGTTGCCACCTGTTGGAACCCAGCATGCACACAATTTCCTGTACCCTAACTTGACAGTCACAACTTCATAAAGAATTGTCATTGACACTTCCGGTATGATCTGATGCAATTCTTTAAATTTGAGACATCTATCGCACAAATTGCCTCCTCTGTTCTCTGAAGAAGGGCATCAGAGATCACAGATGGCCAACCTGTTCTTTGTTCGTCATGAACATCGGTCCTACCTTCAGAGAAATGATGACACCATTTTGTTACATTTTTGTCGATTCATAATGTTCCCATAAACAAAAACAATTTCTTTGTGAATATCCGCTGGTCGCTGAATTTTTGAATGAAGAAAACGTATGACGGAGTGCACTTTGCATTTGGCGCAATTCTGAATTGACGCAGCCATTTTAAACACTATGTACTCCAAACAGAATCAACGTTGAAATGCCGAACGACCGTGAGGAGAAAGCTAATGGCTCAAGGTTAACACCTGTGTTGCCAACTTGCTCACCAAAACTTTTCTTTTCCTCTGGGGTACGGTGTATCTTTACTTTTTGAAATGCCCTCGTAGTTCCTGTAAATGCTGACAGTACACAAAAAATGACTAATTTAATTATAGAAATGTCGCAAAAACCAAGATGCTTTACACATATTAAAACTTTGCCAATGGAATATAAAACAAAAAATTTATGGATGACTATAGATATTTTTACAGAATGGCTCATGAAGCTGGGGGCAAATCTTTAAGGCACCAAAACAGCAAACTTTTATTTTTTATGGATCCGTGTACCGCCTATACACAAATGACAGATTTCTTGTAAAATGTGAAAGTTGTTTTCTTCCCAGCAAATTGCATTAGTGTAGTACAAGCTTCAGAGCTAGGTGTCATTGAGAATAAAATATTCTACAGGCAAAAGTTGATTCAAAATATAACTACAGGAAAAACATAGAAATTTTAAATATTTTTGAGGCTATGAATAGGATTTCACTTGCCCAGACTCAAGTAAAATCACAAACAATTAAAAATTGCTTCTTTAAAGGGGAATTTTCAAACCCACAGTCAGGTGAAAGTGTTAATGATGAAACTGTGATTATGGATGATGAAGACTAGAAACTAATGGGATTAGATATTACAATCAACACGTAAACTGTGATGCAAATATCATCAAGGCTTATGCACAGTTGAAGAATTGATTGAAAAAATTTTGCCAGATGAACATTTAAGTAGAAAGGATGAAGAAATTACCTTGCCTTTTCAAAATGCTATTTACTATTACTGCTATTACTATTACACCCTCAGAAATTTCTTTGTGAGTCATAAATAGAAATGAGAAAATATTTCAAGAACTGAATTCAATTCATAGGGCTTTGCTTAAGATTCAGAATCAAAAGACATATCAGGCAACAATTAAAAGACTTTCTTTAAAAATAAATAAATAAATAAATAAATAAACAAAAAGTGTTAATTTGCCTTAAAATGTTTTTCGAAAACAATTTTTACTTATTCAAGATGATAATTCAAATAACGGTATAACTTCCCCCCCTAATTTTATGTAATTATAGAAATTTACATTTTTATGATTTTAAAAATATTAAATTTGTTCGAACAAAGTTAATATTTTAAACAAACTGAAAATATAATAATAAAACTGCAGATATCTGCAGTTTTATTATTATATTTTCAGATCCTACAGTATATAATGAATGAACTGATAAGAAGAAAGCTTACAGTTTGTAATTCATAAATAATAAAATATACAGTCAAAAGTCGTTAATTCGGACACCCATAATCCGGAATGATCTATAATCCGGACCTCAAAGCTAAAATCTTTCTGCGCATGCGCCGCATTGACGCATGCGCATAAGCGTTTTACTCGTGTGCGCAAGACATTTATGACTGTGCATATGCGTCTGCACAAGTGCAGAATACGTTTTCGCGTGCGCGTTTTATATATAACGGACGGTATAAGCTAAAATTATCTAATTATCTATTTCAGTTAATGTTGATGATTGCGTTGTTCTTTAATCTTCGAATTGGATCCGGCTTATTATTTTTTGCAGACTGTAAGAGCAATTTTCTAAAAGTAAGCTTGAACTTTCGATTATGTCAAATAGAATTTCCGATGCTGGAGCTCCCAAAGGATCTAGAAAATGAAAGTATGTTTCGCAATGAACTGGAAGTTGATTTGTCAACACTATCGTTATCTTCAGGGCAGATGTTTTTATTTTATTCGGCTTATAATTCCTTACTAAATGTAGTATTTAATTTCGATGTACTCCATCTTTGATATGATTTAAATCAAATTCCTCGTCATTATAAATATCACGAATACAAATCAAATAGTTTTCTGGTTGCAATTTTCTAATTTCGGCTATGCGTAAGGTATGCTTTACGCATCCGCGCATTGAAAGAAATGTTTAATAAAGTAAACAAATAAATTAGGCTTCTTTTTTGGTAAATTTTGATACCCTTTAGATCATAATTGCTCATTATTTTATAAATTACTGTTCATATTTTTAATTTTATAATTCTGCCACGAGTCCGGATTAAAGACTTTTGACTGTATTAGCTTTTCCTCAATTTAACGTTTTCTGCATTGCATGTTAAAATATGTTTTATCTGTCACAAAAGATTATGCTCTTTTGAAATGCGAGCTTTTCACTTTTCAAATATCAATTTTGACCACACTTGCAAAATACTAAAAAATATTAAAATATATAACATTAAAAAATAAAATATATAGGAAATTAAATTCTTCTAAACATTTTATTTATTTGTAACTGCAAATTTTTGCAAATTCTGCATCTAACACGTAGCTAATATTAACTGAAACCACTGATACAGAAAGTATAATATGAATACTTAAAAAATCACACTCAAAGAAGCTTTGGATATAATAGAAGAAAAGAGTTTTTCTTTACTTACCCAAATGCAGCAGAAATAGAAAACTTCTGCAGTTCTGAGGGATTACATAAGTACAAGCCGTGGCCATTAATACTAATACAAAAAGTCCTAACCATTCTGGAAAAGTTTCTGGGGGGGAGGAGAAAAAAATTACTACAAAGTTATTACTTTTTAATCAATAATAACAGTAATTAATTAAAACTGTACACATAAAATTTTTTCATTAGGCATGCTTTCTTTTTTTTTTCACTATGAAAGAACTGGATGACTTGAAAACATTTACATAACTTTTTATCAAAAATTATGATTACTTTGTTCAAACCTATCCAACTAAAAATATCAGAACACATTCAACTAAAATTGCATGATATAAAAAATGAACTGCATTTTTGAACAGAAATATGTAAATGATTTTATGTTCCTAAGAAAGAAGAAAGTTCAATGACAGTATATATTTAATATTGTCAGAACACACATTTCAGAAAATATATTTCTTAAAAAGACATATCTTAAAAAGTAAATCATGTGCTTAAAGATAAAAAATTCAGATAAATTCGTAACTTCAAGGTGATTAGCACCTTTTAACCACAAACTTTTACCATAAAACCTGCACTGATGGATTAGAGAAAAGGAAAATACATAATTATATCAGAAAATGATAAAATATATTACTTATCTAAGTATTGAAAATTTAAATAAAGTATGAACAAGCTGCAAATAAATACATATTTAAAGCTATTTTTTTAATACATTAAATGCACTTAATACCAGATTGGCAGAACTTACTTCACATTTAATACAGGTAAAAAATCTACATGATGTAATTGCCGGAGACTGGGTAAGCTATAGATATTCACATGCCCAGTGGCAATGTAGCATACTAAACTTGATCCTGTGAAAAATTACTGAATATGAATAATGGAATAAAAGTATTAATAACAAGATACAAAATTAAAGGTTTCAGACATATAGACATCATAAGTTTGTTCTTGAGAAAGATTTATAGTATCACACAAATAAACTTATGAAGGATTCCAATAACTGTTAAACAAATGATTTTTCATTTGTAATTTGCAATTCAAAATCAATATTTCTGCACCACTACACAGAATTTACTCTTTTTCCAAAATCTAAGATGCTGAAAGTCTCTTATCACATGCCTTGACTTTTGCTAGCATGATTAACAAAATGCCCCTCACTTCACTAATTTTGTATTATTTTCTATAATTTTACATTTGTTTAGAGTTATTTATTTTTTTTTTTTATTAACTTCTTTCTCTCCTGGAAGTATCTTTATTACCTCAAGAAAAGAAAGAAGATATTTTTTTTTATATACCTCCGTGAGATTGTAGCAATTTCGAGAGCTAATCAATTGCTCGCATTACAAAGTAGTTTAAATACATCACATGAGAGCTCTTTTGCAACAGCAGTATGATATTTAACTGTCATATAACAGGTCCAGGATCAAATCCCAAGGTCATTATCATCAAGGGCTTGCAATAGTACTTGTGTGCTGCAACACTTCTCATTGGTGCTAATAGTTGGTGACACGAACAAGCAACTACATACAAAACAACACCAAGCAAGCATACCACTATGTGATCACTACAAAATCATTAACTCAAGTTACCAACAAGGCATTTTGCTTACTGGTAGGAGATTCCTTAACACCATGGGTTACACACTCTATAAAAAAAAAATTGATGCACAAAGAAGGAATCATCCGACTGCTTTGAAATTTCGTATGCGGAAATGCTTTGACCAAATATGCAAGTGATTAAAATTTTATGTCCAATAAGTGAACAGTGCAATCTCCAGCACATCAGAACTGCGCATCCAGCAGATATATATAAGGAGCTGTTCTTGAACTGCTGTTAAAAATTTCTGTAGCTTTGCAATTTAGGATACCTTTCAACGACTGAAAAATGCCTCACCACAAGATTCAAGCTCATTACGAGCAACTGTCAGAGTTTGAAAGAGGTTGTATCATCGAAGGCATGTCTGGATAAGCCTGGAGCAGCGTGCCGATCCTCCTTTCATTATTGCATGCTACACAGGACCTCAACCAAGAGTTGTGGTCTGGGGTGCCATTTCCCTTGATAGATGGGCTCCTTTGGTTGTAATTAGAGGCACACTTACAGCAGAGCGGTATGTCGGCGACATTCTGAGACCTGTTTCGCTACCATTAATTTTGCAGTACCCAGGCCTTATTTTTCAGGAAGATAATGCCAGATCACATACGGCACGTGTTGCCATGAATTGTCTTACAGGTTGTCAAACACTTCCTTGACCAGCCAGATCTCTCTCCCATTGAGCATGTCTGGGATATGATGGGAAAGCGACTGCATCTACCAGGGAATGTTGATGACCTGGCCCAACAATTGAAGCAAACTTGGCACGAAATAGGAGTCCATTCGGAAGCTTTATCAGTCTATGCCACGCCGTGTGGCAGCTTGCGTCCAGGCTAGAGGTGGATCAACACCTTATTGAGCTCATTACTTTGTAACTATGTAAATCTGAAATAAACCATTCAATAGTTCTGAAATTTTAATCATTTTTTATTCTATACATAATCTTCTTATCCACCAATTTTTGTCTCCATCCGACAACTCCTTCTTAGTGCATCGATTTATTTTGTTATAGAGTGTAATATGTTTTGACTTAATAACAAAATAATTTAATTACAGAACTTTATCGATGCTTGGAATTTTTCTCCTAAAAAAATTTAAAGAATTTGATTGAAAATAATGAACGTTTTCAGGAAAACATGTAATATTATTGAACCAGGATTATTTATGACCGATTTGAGAAGCATTCTGGACAATTCTGACAATTGATTCGATCATCATATTTAACATACACGACCCAGGAAAATGCTCATGAGATATGGTCAATTCATATACAAGATCTAATACCTTTTAATAACAAATGGCTATCCAAACAATACAACTCAATATCTTTGAACTTTCTGAAAACATGAAAAGTCGATGCAGCATCAACAGTAGGTGCTGCTTTATGTAATCATATTTCTCTGTGACTGTTAAGTTAGAATACAGCGCCACCTATTGGATATGGAGAGAAACTCTCACTTGGCCATCTGAAATCAGCTAAGCAACATGCCAAAGCATGTATTAGAACTGAATGTAGTTTATTACTGTAAATAAATTAGTTAGTTCTTTTGCTTTACAGTCCACTCATTAGTTTAGAATCATAGTACATGGTCCGTTGAGCTAGAGAAATGAACAAAATGCTGGCATTAGATAGAAATTAAACTTCGTTAAAAGTGAAACTAACTAGATTAGAAAACTTAGTGAAGGAATAATGGTAGTTCGTAAAAAAACGAAATTTAAATAAGGTATAGATCTCAGAAATCGCCGAAATGGAAGAAAGAACGGAAGTTCTAGAGGCAAGAATTATGGAAATTCTATCATCTATCGCACATTCTGAACATGAAAATGATTGTAGTAAATTTGATTCTAAAGTACAAATACATTTGTTAGAATTACCAATTCCTAAATTTTCTGGTAAATATACCAAATGGAATAATTTTAACCCTCAGCACTTCGTTGGCTCCGCTACAGAGCCGTCCGTCATTTGTTCCGTAACACCGTAGGCTCCACTGCAGAGCCTAATGTTTTTAGCATAATTAGGCTTAAGATGTTATGGAATTGTCGGTGTTGGCAATTGTTATCTGTAGTTAAAACATGCTCAGTCTCCCTACTGTTATGACTGAAACATTATTTGACCCATTTTACGGTTAGCAAACATGAAGAAAAATAATTATTGTGATGAGAATATAGAGTTGAGTGATAGTGAAGACGTGTTTGATTTTTCATTGTTAGAAGATATTGTGGAAGACAATGTTGATTATAATTCTGACACTTCAAATAGTGGTTCCGAAATTATACTACCAAAGAAACGACAAATGGTAGTTATTGAAAGTGAAAGCGAAGAGTTGCCGGAAGACTTAGATGAATGGCGCGATGTCACGGAAGAATTGGATATTCTGGATAGAATACATTTTAGTGTATTGCCAAAGTAATTGGACCACAAATTCCTACAAATATTCCAATTATTCTAGCTGACAAAATATTTCCAATTATTTTTCACAAACAAATTGGTAAATGAAATTATAAAAGAAACCAACAATTACGCAGAAATGTTCTAAAGAATAAAGAAATATCTAGTAATTCTATTTGGAAAACATGGCATGTGGTGGAAGAGGATGAGTTTTGGGCTTTTATTGGAGTTATTATCAATATGGGTACAATACCCCTGACGGATATGCAGAATATTAGTCACCTCCATCGGTATCAGTTAAGGAGAATAGTCACATCCCTTTCTTTGGTAAAATATTTACAAGAAAGAGATTTATGCAGATATTCTGGATGCTGCATTTAAAAACACTGGATCCTGCGAAAATGTGCCGGAGTTGCTGGTAGGCAGTGGTACAAAAATGTGCAGAGCGCTAAGGGTTAAGCTCCAATTTGAAAACATTATAGCGAATAACATGCAATTGATAGAAATTCTATTATTTAAAGGCTGCATTAACTGATGAAGCAAAAAATTTTGAATCTGTTGATGATACTTTCAGTTCTCTATTTAAAGCTCAAGACAGGTATGAAAATAAAAGAATATTAATTGAGACACATATAAAGTCAATAATAAATTTACGTAATTTAACATTCGAATCGTCTAAAGGGATAAGATATGTAATAGATAATGTTACTAAAAACGTTAGGGGTTTGAATGTTTTAAAGAAATATGAGAAAAATAATTTATGGGATATTCTATTATTAAATATCATACTTCAGAAACTAGATTTTGAAATGCGAAAACAATTTGAGTTAAGCATTAATGCTACAGAAGTTCCTACATTTGATGAATTAATTTTGTTTTTAGAGAAAAGATGTCAGTTATTGGATAACATTAACCATAATAAAGTAAAATATCTGTTAGAAAAAAGTTCGAAATGATGGATAGTGTTTTGATTTGTGTTATATGTAAAAATAATAATCATCCACCACATAAATGCAATTCATTTTTAAAATTCAATCCAAATCAAAGATATCAAATAGTTAAAAACCATAAATTGTGTTTAAACTCAGTAAGGAACATTTAATGGCAAAATGCAATTCTAAGTTCAGATGTTTGGAATGCCATACAAAACATCATTAATTAAGCCATCACCTGCTCAGAAATGATGCTATCCATCAACAGTTAGACAAAACAAAAACGGAAGCAAGGAGTGACGAAATTATAAACAAGAATGCAGATGTTTCTAATAAAACTTAATCAAGTTGACACTTTTGACACAGAAAAAAATGTATTATTAGGGACTGCAATAGTATAGGTTTTTGTGCTATACTTGATTACAGCAGCATGAGTTGTTTTCTGTGTGAAGGAGTTGCTAACTTGTTAAATATAAAAAAAGAAAGAATTTATGCATCTGTATCTAGAATATATGAGAATGTTATAAATATTAATTATCAATTAGATGTACAGATTTCGAATAAGGATTTAACATATGTAAGATCAGTTAATTGTTTGGTTATTTCTAAAATAACCCATGTAACTCCATCAAGGAGTTTAGATGTCATTAAATGTGCAGTTATTAAATATTCCCATTGATACTGAATTAGCAGATCTGTAATTTGGAACACCTAACAAAATAGATATGTTACTAGGGGCTGAATTGTTCTTCGAGATTTTAAAACAAGGAAAATTTCAATTAAAAAGTCAACCGTTGATATTCCAAGAAATAGTTTTTGGATATATTGCGTTTGGTACATGTAAGAATAACTCAGAAGTAAATTACTGTGGCTTGGATCTGAATAGTGAAGAAAGGGTCGACGAAATTTTGCAAAGATTTTGGGAAGTTGAATCTATTGA